TTGAGGTTCATTAATAACACACAGTCGTTAGTATCCAGCATTCACAATGACAGAGATTTGTCACAGTTGTCAATACTCATTTTTTTTAATGCTAGAAAACCACACTTTGGATACTATTGCACAATGTAAGATGGGTCAATTCATCTCAAGTGGTCCAATGGAGGTTGCTTGAGCATTTTATGGATGGAAACCCCATGGTTAATGGTTGAGGTTCATTAATAACACACAGTCGTTAGTATCCAGCATTCACAATGACAGAGATTTGTCACAGTTGTCAATACTCTTTTTTTTTATGCTAGAAAACCACACTTTGGATACTATTGCACAATGTAAGATGGGTCAATTCATCTCAAGTGGTCCAATGGAGGTTGCTTGAGCATTTTTAATTTTCCAAATGATTTAAAAAAAGAGGTAAACTTGAACCCTTCCCATTATAAACTGACCCTGCAAGTGGAACTTTGAGCGATCTTGATCATTAAATGTGGACTTTTTAAGTTGTAGTTCTAAGGAACAAAAATGTGCAAAATATTCCTATTCGTACATGTACCTTGAAATGTGCTCAAGAGATCAGCTTGTGTTTCAAGGAACTAGTACTAACCCAGGACTGACCCAGATGCTACAGTGAAAGTTTGCAATAACTTTACTTGTTAATTGAAAAATGTTATCTAATTAAATACATGCATTTTAAAGTATATATGCAGGGAACTGGAAGTAAACATCAAATGACTTCCAATAGTCACTTGAACATATTATACATTCAATCATTCATCCTTGTTTCCTCTTTTGACCCACTAGATAAGCTCTTCAAGCAGACTACACAGTGTTCAAAGACAGATAAAGTTGTTCTTCATAAGGATTTTTTAAACTTTCATGGGTGTATGGATTCTTTAAGGGTGGAAAAAAAGAGAATGCGTACAACACGCAAGCCATTATCAGTGTTTACCAAGCCAATGAAGGCACCACAGGGATGGTCTTTATGAGGATTAGAAAGCTGCCCCGCGGTCCCCAACTGTGTGCGCTGCATAGTAATGCTAATGCTAATTGTGCAGGACAAACTGTTAAGCCTCTCTGCTCTATGAGTGGCTTCTTGATGAAATGGCAAGTGACACTAGGGTGAGTCAACCATACTAGTGTCTCTCATCCAGTACTGCTATTATACAAATGTGACAGGCCAAATGTGATGGCAAATGCTAAAACATGAAGCTAGCAGTGCCAAAGTCATAGGTTTGATTCCCAGGAAGTTGTTTAATGCATAAATAAATAAAAAAAATATCAACAGACAATCTAAAGTATATAAAAGAAATATCAAGGTAAACAGAATCACACTATATTGATATTATATGAGCACAGCTGTCATTTTTATGTGCGTGACAATATCTTGTTTTTGCTGGCAACAACAACAAATAAACTGATAATTCTGATTAAACGCCAATTGCAACAAAAGTAAAATCTCAAAAGAAAATGTCTGGCATAAAACCGGTCTAAATCTATCCTACTGTGCGATTGTTACCTGGAGAAGCAACATTATGAGTCAGATATCAAAGACTACGGGGACTATGAGTGAGTATGTCTTCACTCTGTTAACACAGATGGGACTTTCTCATCCAAACTTCGCACATAAACAGGACAAAACAAATAGCGCCGTTCCAAAAGCACTCAAACATACTGTGTTAGCATGAGGCTTCACAATGGATTCAAAAATAATTGACTCCCAGAAGACCCTGCATTGGCTTGATTTCACCACACAAGCATTTGGAGAGAGAAAGTCCTTCAAATTGCCTCCGAAAATTAGATACAAAGCTCTTCTGCTGCCAACAGGACTGTGTTCACATTGTACTGAATTCTCACAGAAGAGTGGAGAGGACACTCCACTGTGTTGTAGAGTTTTAGAGAGAGGGCTTTGTTGGAATGACAGAGAGGCTAAAACACAACCAGTTCTGATCTTTGTAGACCAGATTAGGATAGAAAATGCAGACCAGACGGAATATGTATTGTGAAACAACAGAAATGGCTGGCATGCCAAAGAAACATGCAGTGCAACCTACTATCAACCGTTTTTATAAATCAAAACTAAAACACAAACACCACAAAAGAACAAGTTGCCAGTTTAAACCAGCCCGAAATGGGCCGTATATCTAAAATATACATTAATAAATCATAATCAAATCAAAACTAAATCTAATGGCAAGCTTGTTGTGAATTGGAATAAAATCAAATGTGCAATTTACACTACTGAAGAAATAAAAGAAAATAATCAAATTACATTAAGTATCTTTAACATACACTGTATTATCTGAAAAAAATTGATTTATGCATTTTTTTAATATATAATTTTTTTATATAGTTTTTCCTTCATAAATTACTATATAATGATGTATTCAAGTAATAAAATATATGGGAGTTTGGTCATACAGCCCACCCATAGTCCAGACATGTGTTCGGCAGACGCTACACAGATTCTTAAGTGTAGGAAAAACCTCTTGTTTCATTTTAAAAAGGCACATCTGTTTTGCTCACTGCTGATGATAGAACTTTCTAACAAGCTCTCATCCCAACTTAAATTATCCTGTAATTCTCCAATCAGTGGATGCAAGGCCATTTCAAATGACAAGCCATTCCTCAAAGGATTTGCTTGGTATACTTTACAGAAATGCACACAATAACTCTTATTTCTGGCGCCATTATTTCAGAGGAGCGATTTCAGTAAACATGTCAAGAGGTATATTCATCCGATCTCTGAATTCACACAGTCAAACAATCACTGAGACGACCTCAATCAGAGTCACAAGCAACCCCAATGGCGTATTCAGGTGATGGACTGGGACTTTCACTTGCAAAAACAAACATTTATATCCCCCAACGTCAACTACACATCCTGCCCCAGCGAAGGTATTTGAGACCACATGTGCTGTCTGGTGACTTCCAGGTGAATAAATATCACTAATTATCCCAAACAAAAAATTACATTAAGTATCTTTAACATACACTGTATTATCTGAAAAAATTGATTTATGCATTTTTTTAATATATAATTTTTTTATATAGTTTTTCCTTCATAAATTACTATATAATGATGTATTCAAGTAATCAAATATATGGGAGTTTGGTCATACAGCCCACCCATAGTCCAGACATGTGTTCGGCAGACGCTACACAGATTCTTAAGTGTAGGAAAAACCTCTTGTTTCATTTTAAAAAGGCACATCTGTTTTGCTCACTGCTGATGATAGAACTTTCTAACAAGCTCTCATCCCAACTTAAATTATCCTGTAATTCTCCAATCAGTGGATGCAAGGCCATTTCAACAGACAAGCCATTCCTCAAAGGATTTGCTTGGTATACTTTACAGAAATGCACACAATACCTCTTATTTCTGGCGCCATTATTTCAGAGGAGCGATTTCAGTCAACATGTCAAGAGGTATATTCATCCGATCTCTGAATTCACACAGTCAAACAATCACTGAGACGACCTCAATCAGAGTCACAAGCAACCCCAATGGCGTATTCAGGTGATGGACTGGGACCTTCACTTGCAAAAACAAACATTTATATCCCCCAACGTCAACTACACATCCTGCCCCAGCGAAGGTATTTGAGACCACATGTGCTGTCTGGTGACTTCCAGGTGAATAAATATCACTAATTATCCCAAACAAACAGTTGAATAAAGGTTTGCTTTTAGAGCTCTGATTAGCGAAATCAGACCTGCATGACCTCAACCACTTAAGCTAAACTCACAGTCATAATTAGAAGACTTTCTCCATAACATTTATGTTCACTTGAACCCGGTTACTTGATGATACAGAGTGATCTCAGTTGAATTTAGGCAATATGTCCTAATGTATCTGTTTCACAATCATTTAAGCTGAGTTACCCGGCAAAGTGCATTAGTGTATTACAGTCAGAGGTGTACCAATCACAGATTGTTCCTTTGCTCCAGTTTCTTTGATGAGTTCAGTAGGTTTTTTTTTAAGAAAACATCTTAATGGGATCTGAACATACATCTGAAGCTTGTGCTTGTCACTTAATCATTCTCTAATATTTGTTTACCTGATTACCAAACCATGAGGACAAACATCTCACACTTATAAGTGAGTAAAACAAAGTGGAAAACTTGACAACCCAAACATATTCTCTCAAAGAATTTATATTGTTCCTGTAGCTCAGTCAGTAGTGTGTGGCACTAGCGGTGCTAATGTCATGGGTTTGATTCCCAAGAAATGCATAAAAAAGTGCATCTTGAATACAATATAAATTGCTTAAAATAAAGGTGCCTTCCAAATGCATGCAATTTATAATTACATTATTAAAAAATAACATATGCCTGCATCTCATCAATAAATAAAAACGCATTATGCCTGCATTTTTTTGAGTGTGTTATTGTATTCAGTATTGATTTTATTTTTATTTCTTTTTTTACATTATAACTCAAGAGAAGCTTTAGTTTAAAATTTAACAGTATATAATTATTCTGAATTTAACAGTGCCCAAATGTCACAAAATTATCACATAGGCCTATCGGAAATGTGCGCTGTGATTTCAGTAAAGATGCAAGGCGCAGTGGAAAAGCAAATAACCCCGATGGAAATATCGACGGTCTGAGATGATAGCTAGCCTACTCTATCCTTCATGTTAGCGCTCAGTTTTCAAATCTTAACTGCAGATTAGCATGCGAAGTTAAAGGAACAGTTCACCCAAAATGCAAATTCTGTCATCATTTGACAGTTTCTTCGGCAGAACACAAACGGAGACGTTAGGGAGACTCAGTCACCATTTACTTTCATTGTACGGAAAAAGATGCAATGAAAGTGAATGGGGACTGAGACTGTTAGTCTAGTCATTCTGTGTATACAGGAGAGAGAAAGTCAATACAGATCTTAAACAATATAATGGTGAGTGAATGATGGCAGAATTTGCCATTTGGGGGGAACTATCCCTTTAAAACATACAAATGAATGCGTAAACTGTGACTTTAAAAAGGCTGTATATATAAAATACCTCTCATGTTGTGGATTTTGACCATGACCTCGGCTGTTGACATCAAACGAAACGCCAAGTACACGCGTCCGGAGTCTCTTTCTATCTGGACCGGTGAGTTCCCGTCCGAAACCACCTCGAACCATTTCTTCTCGAACTTCTGGTCCGGTACCGTAAAGATCAAGCCTCCGACTTTGACATCTTCAGAAACTGTAATGGTATAGGTTACTTCTTCAGAAATGGTTCTTGGCTTCCTAACTCGGCTTTCAGCATCGGTAAGAATCTCTATCCTGTCAGCTGTTGCGTTAAAATGTCGCTTATCGGTGTTTTGATCAAGTATCTCGATCTTAACTGTCACTTCTTCGGCTGTTATATTGCAGCGCGGCAAGCGCGCGCTCACTGTATAGCTCGAGTTGGAATCCCTGTCAAAAGTTTTGGTGGTTTTTAAAACGAATCCCGAGTTGTTCAGATATTCAAGTGAAAAATCCGACGAGTCATCCCCTGTTAAAAGTGTTTTAAATCCAACCATGTTTAATTCATTGCATTTGTCTCCCAGAGGAAAAAGAAACCCAGCGACAACAGTTCCAGGAGGTGCGCCTTCCTCAATTTGTCCATAAAAAACAGCCGAATGCACATTAGAAATGGCAAGAAAAATAACTAAAAAACATGCGGTAGGAAATCTGAAGAAAGTCGGGTTCCGTAAATGCGCCCTCATTATTCCATCAATTCTGCCACTCTGTCTATCCTTAAAATCTGTAAGTTTTCAATACAAGATGTCAATATATTGTGTGTAGCTCCTCGTCCGGCATCATTCAACCTCTCACTTCTTCCCTCATCCACCGATACACAGCATCTCCATGTGGTACCCGGGGCCCCGCCTTCAAAATGATAGCCAATCAAAGTGACGGAAGGGTTGGACTAGCTATATAGACCCTCCTACTAAATTTAAATAAATATGCAGCTTTCACCATGCAGTCACCAAGCGAACGTTTGCAGGGTGGGATGCAGTTTAAATAGTTTAATGGCTTTTAAGTGTTTTTTTTTTGTTTTTTGTTTTTTTGGAAAGAGATTAGTAATTTTATTCAGCAAGGACACATTTGTCAGGAAAAACTTTAAATTGTCACAAAAATGTCTATTTCAAATAAATGCTGCTCTTTTGAAATTTCTGTTTTTTAAGTATCCTGGATATGTTTTTTTTTTATCACGGTTTCCACAAAAATAAACAAATAATATTAAGTAGATTTTTTTAACATTGATAAGAAGACATGTTTCTTCAAAATCAAATTAGTATATTAGAACGATTTCTGAAGGATCGCGTTACACTGAAGACTGGATTAATTATGCTGAAAATTCAGCTTTGTCATTACAGAAAGCTTGTTATTAAAGAACACATTATTTTAAAATAGTGTATCAGAGATCAGTGTATATCCAGTGTCTTGAGAAACAACAGAAATGCAATCAATTGTCTGGATTGCGACTTGTGACAGAATAATGCTTAATTCATAGAAATTTCCCAGAATGCTACAGACGTGTAGTACATTTTTATTTAATCTAACTGAGAACATTTTCCAAATTCCTTCTTTATCCAAAGACTGATGTGCTAAACACCACATTTGACAAGTGCCTGCTGGGTAACTCATTGCCCTACAAAAGGCAAAACATTGTAACTACACATTTTCTACAACTGAATTGTGATGAAATCACAGAAGTTGCATAAATAAAGCTACTATGTTGTGCCTTAAGAAGTAATCTGACCAAGTAGCAGTTAGGCAGGTGGTCTTACTTTTCGGATTAAAATTAGGCCATTTATGTTTTATGTAAATGTTTAAAAAAAGGTTATGACCAGTTTTATTGAAATTATATGACTTATAAGACTAATCTAAGCAGTTTATGTAACTGGTCACAACAGGTCTTTTAGACTATAATCTGTCCTGTGATAGACAGCTTTATCTTAACTATTCTCAGATCCAAAGATAATGGAGTGATATCAAATTAATCAAAATGTAATCCAAAAACTTTCAAGAACTTTTTTCTTATTTCAGTTTTGGCATAGTTACTGTATTTTTGCTTTGTTAGGTGGCATATTGCCTCTGAAAGACAGGGGATCAAGGTTTGGTTGGTTATCTTTAGCAGCCTTGCTGCAGACTCCTCTCTCATAACTATATCACTCCACTCTCAGTGTCATCTAGCTGATGGATTCTGTTTGAGGCACAATGGACATTCACAGACAAGTGAGATCAAAACAAATCAGCCTGTGACATCAAATATCCTAGGACCGAGCTAGAGAATATTGTATTTCCTATGTTAACAAATGGAACCATTTTTTATTGCAAACAAAATCCTTTTTTTTTTTTTGGGCATGAGGTCAATTCACGATTGCACACTACTGATCATAACTATTTTCCTATTGAACCACATTTCATTGTTTTCCCTTTCATTCTTTTCAGTTTGATAATTAGTGCTACTCTGTAAGTGCTGGGTATTCCATGATGTTCCATGATAGAAATGCATAATGGGCACATACTGCATGTATTGTCCATTTTGTCAAGGTAAGGAAATTATTAGGATGGGCCCGATTCCAGTCTCTTTCTTTTGTTAAGTAACAATATTATTCAAATCAAAATGCTTTTCAAATGGAAATGAAATTAACTGTTATGAGTGCTATATTTGGACTCTGTAGTGGGAGATTCATTACAGAGAATTTTTCTGCTCAGCTCTGTGTGGATGTGCAAAGGAAATTAGTCAATTTTAAGGTTTTTAAGTCATTCTCAGTTAATTGTTGCTGCAGAAATATAAAATTGTCAAGGATTTTTATCACTGCAAGGAATACATAAAAAATTCAGTCATTATTTAATCTTATGTTGTTTCAATCCTGTAGATTTTCTTTGTTCTGTTGAACACAAATGGAGAAGCTTTGGAGAATGTTTGTGTTCCTCTCTAGACTAGGTGACTCTTATAGGCTGGATCTTTTTTGGTGAATCAGAAGCTACATCCACGTTAATCCGGCTACATTTGAAAACAGAGTTTATGTATAAAAGCACTCTCCATCCACACTAGCGTTTTTAAGCATTTTACAAAGGTTGCTCATCCACACTGACGTGTCTGAAAACACTGAAATCTCGTTTCTTCGCATAAACGCTCAATGAGACACAACAGGCACAGCAATGATGGCACAACCATAGATATTTATTGGTACAATATGCGTCACATGACTAAACATGAGTCATCGGTTTCAATAAAATCGAATCAGCATCTGAACTGAATTGGGAAATGTGTATCGATACCCAGCCCTTCTTCTCTCTTCCAAACACTGTCATATGGATTTGAAATGATATAAGGAAGAGTAAACAATGACCAAAGGTGAACTATTCAGGTGAACTATTCCTTTAATGTCTCTTGAGAGACAGTCTCGTATGATGGTACAGTGCTGTGCACGTGTCCATATTGCGCTCAGATGTGCGCTCAACCTTTGTCAATTGTGATGAATGAGCGCAGTGCCAAAGATGAGGCAAGGTGGAAAAGCAAAAGATCCACACATGGGAATATTTATCCTCATTCCCATCAGCTCAACATATGCCTCACCTTGTCATACTTACTGTAATCATTCCCACAATACAGAGTACTGTATATACAAGATATGACATGACATAACCTCTCAGAAATATGTTAATAATACTACCTCAATTTCCCTCTTTGAAATTTCTTTGCTTGATTTCGGGAGAAAGAACCATCTGAATGCTGCGGTGTGCTCAGAAAGCTATAGCCGAAAGATGTGTGCACACTTTAAATGGATTAAAGCAATCACCTGCACATTTCTCTAAAGTCAAATAGACATGTTTAAGCATGAAAGCCCCCGCAGCAGCCCACCTCCTCCTCACCACCTCTCTTTGAGAAGCATAAAACACAAATTACAGCAATTTACCCCAAGAGGCAGTGTGTGCGTGTGACAGCCGAATGGGTTTCGAGTTGACGTGTCGAATGTCGTGTCACAGCCACTCACGCCAGTCTTTCATCATATTTTGGCATGCCTCTCTGTGGAAAAAGTGACAGGAATGGAGTAGGAAAGACGGCAATCTCGCAAACCTTGAGTTTCTCCGTCAAAGGTCACCAGAACTGACAGGAATTCTCTCTCTCGCCATCACTGGCTTGTTTTCTCCTCATTTCCATCTGTATTCTCTCTCTCTCTCTCTCTTCTCTTTCCATCCCTCATGTGCTCTCTCTTTAATCTGAGAACTGACAGTCAAATGAATGCCAGGTGGATATCTTTTTCCTCCACCCCTGTTGTATCACAGACAGAGAAAGAATTATTCAACAGTGAGAGTAGCCCTGCTCGTCCATCTCCTCTCTGTGTGCACAGAATCAGTCTCTGTTCTCCTGTCTGGTGTATCAGATTGCTGACTGGTTCCTCATATGCTCACTGACAGAAAGGCAGGCATGTGGGACGGTCCCCAGGCCCGTCCCTGCAACTCTAGTGATAACATCTTAAATCAAAGTCTGCAGAGCTGCTTCTCTCTGTCACATCGTCCTCCTACCAGCACTTCCAAATCCTCGGGCTTCATCCCATCATTGCTGCATCTGCATTGTTCTCTCTTGTGGAAACGTATGCTCATTACAACTTTCTAAAGGACAGTTCTACCTTACAGTTGGCTCATTTCTTGAAGGGTTCTTGGTCATTACGTTCAAAATACAGACAATCAAAATATAAGGAACAGCAGTATTAAAATTCTGGCCAATAGGATAAGCTGACAATTTGTATATTGTGGCCGATAACTGATAATAACTTAAAATTAGCTAATATTAAAATATTAAAACTGATATTAAACCCATATTAGCTGGTTTTAAAAACTATTTTGTCTAAATAAATTTAAAAAAATAAAATAATTAATAAAAGCAATCATTTTAAATGCTACAAGTGATTTTAGGCAGAACAACATTATAATATACAGTATAAAAAATGTATATTAATTTTGAGATTTGCTAAAGATTATATTTAACAGTGATAATAATTTATTAGTACTGATTAAAAAAAAGCACATCAGCTGAAATTCAATCTGGTATTCAATGTGGAATAATATATATTGTGCATGCCAACAAAAATTATAGAAGCAATTATTGTAGACTTTGGTATCTTGGCAAATCTGAGCACAGTTCGGATCTGAAGTTAGAAAAACATTTGAAATTGCTTATAGCACGTTTAAAGCTGAAGTGTGTAATCTTTTGTTATTAAAATACTGTTCTATCCCAGCTAAATATGTAGAGAAAATAGTAAATCATCCATCTGTAGGTCAGTCCCCCAAAATCTGTAAATGCTATGGCTTTGTAGCACTTTTAAGGTTTGGAGGTCTATACCTGAAAACCACTTTTCATTTAGGAAAAAAAACACAAATATCAGGACACACTAATTTTTGAATGGCTGTCAAAGGAAAAACTTTTGTTGGCCCAGTTTGTGTAATTACAGCATTTACCAGCAGGGGCTAACCAGCCAAAACTTGGTTTGAGCTTATGAACCAGTCAAACTCAAAAACATTCGCTCCAAAAATTGTTCAAATTTGGTCCAAGACTCCCTGTTTGTCTGGTCAATGGAAGGCAAGGAAATGTTTGAGAAATATATTTGAAAACAATTGTTATCCAGAAATTCTACAAAAGTCTCTATTTGCTCTACATTAAACAAGTGATATTGTATATTAAAAAGATCTACTGTGCTCTTTGAAGTCTGGGACTGACAGGTAGATATGTGTGAAAGATTATGCTTAGTTGAACAGAAAGAGAAAAGCACATTAGAGAAAGAGTGACAGAAACAGAGA